AGCATTACCAGATTACAGGTCAGAAGCAGAGCACACACCAAGCCCCAGCTTACAGGGATGCCGCCGCAGCAGCTCACACGTCAGCGCAAGCCTGAGGACCAACCCCTGGCATCTGCACCGGGTGCGTAGCCTCTGGGCTCGTTAGGGAAAATCCAGACCACGCACTGAAGAGGGGTCTGGGGCCAGTCTGCCCCACAGGCACACATCTGCTCCATCACTGTCACTTCAGGCATCCCAATGCTTGCTCTGCCAAGGCAGAGCACAAAGGGCCCCAGCAGGACTTACCACCACTGTTGGTCAGCATCCAGCAAGGGCTTCCTCCATCCTTCCTCTCTGACAAGATGCCACCATCAGGATACAATCCTTCACCAGCTTCTCTGTTACTTGAAAAACAGTTGTGACACCCAGTCACAACAAAAAGGACAAATCCCCTCAATTTGCAGTCAAACCTCTGGGAGCTGCCCAGCAGGGAACACAGCCTGGAAACACCCCAGCTACCCAGGCAGGAGGGTGAACACACAGCAAACCAGCATCCCACCTCCAAAGACATTGGACCAGTCCCTAAGCAAGCTCAGGCCTTTTATAACCCATTCTCAGGTGAAACCTGTAGAGATTAGCTAGTCTGGGGAGATTCACATCACCTGGGAGCAACCTTGGATGTTCTGGCTGCTCCTTTGTCCCCCCAGCCCTCGGTGCAACACAGGGCTCCAGCATCCAGTGCTTCACCGTCTGTGAAGGGGTTGTGGCAGCTCTTCAAGAGTCATGGCCGTGGCCTCAGCAATGTGCTGGGGGAGCCCAGCTCCTCAGTGCATAGATGCACAGCCTTGTGTTGTGTATATGGCCTGATTTATAGGAAGGTCGGGGGTGTCAGGTGTTGGACAGGCTCCTTTCAAGGGCAGGGATGAGCTGCTCAATGGGAGCTCACACCTCCCCATCCATATCTTAGTGGTGATTTTACCATTATCCTTCCACCAGCTTGCCTAAAGGATATCAAAATTATTATCCTTGCTTGGAGAGGGGGAAAAGGGGAGGGCGAGAGGGAGGTGAAGTGATGTGGCAGAGGCTGGCCAGAGAATCAGTGTCGAAGGCAGGACAAAAAACGCCATCTCTCTCAAATCGCAGCCTGGCCTGGGTCTCCGTTAGGGCTGTTCCCCCCAGCGTGCGTGTAGGGGACAGCTTTCCTGCAAAGTGCCCCATGGCTCTGCCCATGTGAGTGTGTGGTGCCCATGGAGTGGCTGATGCATCTTGCCTTGGTGCCCCCAGAAGTGCTCAGATGCTCAAATACTCACACGTCAGCCATCCCGAGGAATAATTTCATTTAATCCCCTTTTTACCTTCTTCTCCCCCATCCCAGCAAAGCAAGAGCCAGGCAGATCTGCATGAGTTTTGAGGTCAGAACTCTGTTCTTGGATGAAAGTCTTTAAAAAAACTCAAAGAAACCCCCACCCCAAAGCCACAAAAAACCAGAGTGGGAGAAAGAGGAGAAAGGAACAAGCCTGGGAAGCCGGCTCTGCACTTTGCCCCGGCTGCCTGGGACAAGGGGCTCTTTGTTTCCCTGGCCGGAGCCTGCTGCACTGGCCCTTTTCAGCCTCCCTCCCTGGGAAAGGGGCCAGAGGGAAGCAGGCACAAGCAGGGCAGGCAAAAACCCTGGGGCTGCAGTGAGGAACCCCTGCTTGGACCCCCACCAGGCCCCTCATCTTCATACAGCAGGTCTCTATAGCGTCTGTCGGAAATGGCACCAGGAGAAAAAGGTGCCTGAGAGCCCCTTGGGTCTCCACTTCCCATGCACTGTCCCTGAACATGAACCTGCTTGTGTTCCTGCTGTGCAGGAGGTTTTAAACTTTTCTGTGTCTTTTGGACTTTGCAATCCTAAAGCACCTGCTAAAATGCATTGAAGCACCCAGCCGGTGTGTAATCACCTGCCCGCAGCTTCCCCGGGCTTCCCGGGCTGGCCACGTCGAGCGAGCCCCATCACTGCGGCTTTGCTGGGTCCCCAGGCGGCTGGCAGTGTAGGCTGGAGGATGCTGGGGACAAGCTGCTGTTGTCTCCTCCCACCCCAGGGACACTGCCAGGGTGTCCCCAAGCGTACGGGTGCAATGACACGGAGTTGGTGACGGTAGTGGATTCAGCCAGCCGGGCAGGAGACTTGCTGCAGGGATCACATCGAAGTTTGGGGCGGTGTTTTCCTTCTTCTCCTTATTTTCTTGCATTGAAAAACCCTGTAGGTCTGCCTGGCTTCCAGCAATTCCCCTTCTCCTGCCCCCAGTCGCACAGAGCCGGGGCTGGGAAACACGCAGCAGCCACCCCTGGGGCTCTCGGCTTTACATCAGCTCTAACATGAGTTGCAGGTGCCCTCCCTGAGTATGTCTGTCTGTCTGTCCAGGCTGGAGCTCAGGTTTGAGGCTGGTTTTGCACACCCGTACGACAACTTTCCGCAGGCTGAGAGTGGTGCAGGGCTCCCTGCGCCCCGCCCTGCGCCCATGCCAGCATGCACAGGGATGACATGAGCTGGATGGACGCTTGGCATCCCAGGATGGTCTGGGAGGTAGATCAAGTCCTAGGAGAGAATAGGAGGTCAGGAAATGGCCTCTGCACCCCTGGGGACCAAGGTGCTTCAGGGCAGCTGGGGACTCATCCTGCCCTGCCAGGAGATGTGCAAACACCACTTGCTGCCGTGCTCGTTTGCACCGCTCTGCTCCTGAGCACAGAGGGCGATGAGAATGTGCCCAACTAGCCCCAAAACTCTCCGTGAGGGCCCAGCTGTACCCAGGCTGGCCCAGCACTTTGCAGCCAGGTCCCACATCCGCAATGCTCCGTTTCCCATCCTTCATAGGATGATGCTTATTAGAAAGTGGGACAGGAAAACAAGAATGGTCTCTCCCCAGGTCAAAAAAAAAAAATCCTTCTCAAGGCTATTTCTCCCTCTGGGAAAAGCAGGCATTTGCAGTGTGCCACACCAGCATGGCTTTGGGCTTCAGGGACACATATGCTGTTCAACCTCATCCCGCAGAGATGGCAAGGGTGGCCTTTCCTGGCCTCTCCATCCCTGTACCAGAGCTAGGGAGGATATTTGCACCCCAGAGTTCCCTTCCCAAAGGGTCCAGGCACCCCTCAGCCCCAGCGGGGCAGTGGGAACCAGCCCTGCCGCAGCTCCCCATTACTGCTCTGAACAGCAACTGCCAGAATGGAGGGGAGATGGCAACAGGCTTTGTTAAAACAAATAAATTCAAGGAAAAGGCCTTGTACATGTTTCCTCAGCAACCGTGACGTCACGTGGGATGTCTGGGCTTCCCCCTCCTCTTCTTCTTATTAAAAGGAAAAGAAAGGGAAGCAGAAAGTGAAGGGGAGCTGGGGACAATCTCCTGGCAACACTGGGCACAGTAATGTCCTCCTGCCAGGGGGACATGGCTCCAGCCCCGGGAGCATGGCCAGCCCTTGTGGCCAGAGCCATGAGATGGAGAGGGAGTCCCTGGTGTCCCCTGGTGTGGAGGCAATGGCACTCCAGGCACGACCACGTCCCCAGGGATGCCCAGCTCCTTCCTGGCCATGGCAGCCTTGCTAAGCCCTGATTTACCCAGTGCAGGTCCTCAATTTGCAGAGTGGTGGGAGCTTAATCTCCTCTGTTTCTCCCTCTTAACTCAAGACACTTTTTGGTGACGATGACCATGCTTCTTCCCACAGTGCCGGGGTCTGGCTGCCGGCAGGGCAGGGGCTGGGGACACGGTCCCCGCAGGGGCTGTCACTGCTGCCTGCCGGGGAGCACCTCGCATGCCCCAGCCTGCTGTGGCCACACTCAAACCCTTGTTACTTGAGCTATTTATCCATCCTGGCTCACTTTTAATAGATAGCAGCGAGCGACTCAGGCGGTGGGTCTGAGCAGGCAGGAGATGGCAGAGGAGTCTGCACGGGCACGGGTGGCTCGGGGATGGGCAGAGGGGACTTTCACTGCCTTTCCCAGTGCCCTGGACCGAGGGTACACCCTGCGCCCAGTGGCAAGGTCCTGCCAGCCCCCGAGCCCCCTCTCTGGGCGCAGCTCAGCTGTGAAATGCGCCGCAGATGGTGCCGGAGCCGGGAGCGAACAGGGTCAGAAAGCAATTAGCCCAGGTCCTGCAGGGCAGCCCTGCCAGCACCCGCTCAGCTCAGCCGTCCTGGCCTGAGCCACAGCAGAAAAGGTCTTTAGACCCCTGATTACTAGGAGCAGTCAGGGAAGGATCACTCCCTGTTTGCCTGTTCCTTATTCCCTTTCTCTAAGCCTCTACTGCTGGCCCCTGACAGAAGAGGATGCTGAGCAAGGCAGTGCTTTGCTCCGACGTGTTATCACAGATGCACATTTAATTTGCCTCTTAATACAGCATTATGTACCTAGCAATGGACTAGCCAAGCCCGACGCTATTTTTTATTGCTGCGCGTTGACCCGACAGGGGAAATCGATACATTCCTCCAAGCACCAAGAGCAAGCCAATACCCAGACTTAAGAGAAACAGAAATAAAGCTACAGGTTTCCAAGGGAGCGTGGCGGGGTTTCCCCCTGCAGCAATCTGTGCTGGGACACATGGCCCCCATGGGGCAGGGGGAGAGCATCACCATCACCTGTACCACATCCTGGGACAGGTCAAGAGATGCTCCAGACCTTATTGATCCATCCTTGCAGCAGCTTCCCCTGCATCCTTCCCGCTGCTGCCCTGCCTGCCCTCTCCTGCTCGCAGCAGCAGGCAGGGCTGGCTCCTGCCCTCCGCTTTCCAAATGATGGCAGCCGCTGGGAAATGTTTCAGCCTGAGCCGTCGCTGAGCAAGACTTAGGGTCCTGGCATTTGGGGCCAGCCTGATGGACAAGCGGTGCACAGTGCCCGGGTCACTTCTGCAGGGCAGCTGGAGCAAAGCCGAGCCGAGGTGGGCTCCAGGCTGGGGGGCTGCTGGGTGACCCTGTGCAGACCCCTCTGAAAAGGCTTTCCCCCAAACCCTGTCCCCTGAGCGTGTTTCTCTCCCTCTTTCTCACTGCAGGTTCATGAATCACCGTGTCCCATCCAACTGCAGGTACCAGCCGACGGAGTACGAGCACGCGGCGAACTGTGCCACCCACGCGGTGAGTCCCTGTCCCCATCCCGGGGCGAGGGAGGATGGTGCTCAGATCTCTGGGGATCCTCTGAGGAACCTCAAGGAACACCTAAAAATGCCCTGGAGTAGCTGCCGAGGGTCTTGGGGCTGTGATGAGGCAGATGGACTCCAAGTGCTCCTGGGGAGTGCGGATGCTCTCCCTCCTTCTGCCCTGCGAAGCTGGTGTTCATCTCCCTCGCTCTCACCCACCATGTCCCCATGGGGAAGATGGCTGTGTGCTTAGTGGAGCAGGAGTATTTTGCAAAGCTGCCTGAAAATGGAGTGGTTGAATGGTGACAGGTGCCCCACGGGGCTGCCTACACGGCAGTGGGAGTAAATGCTCCCCACACCAGGGTTTCCCTCGGGAGCTGGCAGCTCCCACTCCGAGCCCTGGGGGATGGCTCAGAGGTAGTCATCCTCCCTGTGCCTTCCTCCTCCTCCCTACCTCTACCTGGAGAAGCTGTTTTGGAGCTGCACCATTCAGGGAGAGACCCTGCCTGGCCAGTGCAGGTGGCCAGCCTGTCCCTTATGGGTGGTAGCTTTGACCAGAAGCAAAAGAAAAACCTAGAAGGAAAAGCAGAGACCATATCATAGCTGCTCAATGGAAACACAGGGAGTCAACAACAGGTTTGCTTTTCACTTCCAGTTCTGGATCCTGCCCAGCATCCTCGGCAGCTCCATCCTCTACATCCTCTCTGATGACCAGTGGGAAACCATCTCAGCCTGGATCTATGGCTTTGGCTTGTCCAGCCTCTTCATTGTCTCCACCATCTTCCACACCATCTCCTGGAAGAAGAGGCATCTCAGGTACCAGCTCTGATCGCTTGAGGCTTGGGAAGTGGGAGAGGGTCCAGAGGCCCCTGGTGCCGCAGGCTCTGACCCATCTGTCTGTCTGTCCTGCAGGACTGTGGAGCACTGCTTGCATATGTTTGACAGGATGGTGATCTACTTCTTCATCGCGGCGTCATACGCTCCCTGGTGAGTTGCTGGTGGGTGGGAGCCATCGCTTGGTCCCACTGGAGGGGAGAAAATCAGCTCAGCTCCAACAAATAGGGTTCCCCTCTCTGGCTTTGGCTCTGCTTGAGGCTGTACCCTACCGCTTTCCACAAAACCTTCCTATCCTGTAGGTTACAATTTGGGGCGACCCTTTGGTAGGACAGCCTTGGGAGTGAGGGCAGCATTTCCCCTGGTACCTGCAGCCCGGACTGGGGTGCTGCCCTGGATGCCCCTCACCACAGACCTGGCTCTTGCAGGCTGAACTTGCGGGAATTGGGTCCCTGGGCCTCCCACATGCGCTGGATCATCTGGATCATGGCATCTATCGGGACCGTCTATGTTTTCTTCTTCCATGAGCGGTGAGTGCCTTTACCTGGGCCCGCGTTGGTGGGTATCACAGAGCCCAGCTCAGCTCTGCCAGTCCTTCTCAATGCCCCATCGGTAGTCAAGCTGCAGGGGAGAGCAAGAAGGATGGAGACAGACAGACAGACAGACAGATAAGTACAGGATCCCTGGGCAGCCTCCTGGCCAACTGGCAGTGGAGGGCTTCCTTGGACCACATCCTTCCCAATCTGCACCTTGTTTTTAGGAGCTTTGGTGGCAGGGATGTGGGAGCCGGGACGTGGGAGCAGGGATGTGTTGCTGTGAGTTACTTCTTCCACGTGGTGGCACCAAATAGAAAGCAAAAGGCCCCAGGTGCCTCCCCAAAGCCTCAGGCGCCTGGCCCTGAGCTGGCAGCTCCCCAGCCAAGGTGGGGGTCCATCACTCCCGGTGCTGGGTGCCCACCCTGCCGTGGTGCTGTGGCTCACACATGAAGATGTGGGACCTGCCGTGGTGGCACCGCTGCCCCTTTTCCTATGGCATGGCTGTGGACACTGCAAGCGGAAAACGATGCTTCCTCTGCACCTGCCTCCAAGCAGCTTCTCTGTCGGTCGCAGGTACAAGCTGGTGGAGCTGGTGTGCTACGTTATCATGGGCTTCTTCCCTGCCTTGGTCATTCTCTCCATGGTAAGCCACCGCTGGGATGCATGTGGGCTCAGTGCGAGGGACAAGTCCAGTGGGTTGGCATGGTCCAGGCTGCGTGATGCATAAAGCCATCCCCAAATATGACGTGGCCCAGCTCAGTTTTGCAAATGATTTGGGTGCCCAGCAGATAACACGTGCATCTCCAGTAGACCTCCTGCCTGGGTTCCATTGCGTTGAAATCCTCCCAGCAAAGCTGGGCTGCTTGGTCCCCGTTGCCTTGCTGGAGGGGAGGGCGTAGCAGATGGCAGAGCGAGGGTCCTGCCCGCACCCTGCACCCTGGTCTTGATGGAGCGGTGGGGAAAGGGCAGGCGTGCCGTGGCCACCGCTCAGCCCTGCCTCCCTGCTTGCTCCCAGCCCGACAGGGATGGCCTCCTGGAGCTGGTGGCTGGCGGACTCTTCTACTGCCTGGGCATGGTCTTCTTCAAAAGCGACGGCCGCATCCCCTTTGCCCATGCCATCTGGCACCTCTTTGTGGCCATTGGAGCTGGCATCCACTACTACGCCATTTGGAGGTACCTCTACCGGCCCAGTGCGCTGGAGGCTAAAACATCCCGGTAGACGCCTTAAAGACATCCTTTACACCAACTGGCACATGGGGGCATGGAGGGGGCTGGGGAGGCAGCCTGCGCTGTGGGCTCGCCCCGAACCACCCACTCATCCTGTGGGCAGCAGCCACCGGTGCCCTTTCCGCAGGGACAGGACAGCCTGAAGGTTGATTTTAAACAGATTTTTTTGTTTTTAACCTCAGGAACTGTTTACTTTTTTAGGCAAAGGTTTTGTAACATGGTGACCGACCGTTGGGCTGTGGGAGATAGGGGAGTGACCACTTGCCAAGGGCTCGGGGGGGCCTTGCTCTCCTGCCTGGCCCTGAGCCTCCCACAGGAGCTGGGACCTTGGCCCCGCACACCCCTGGCTAGTGACACCATGGGTTTGGCTACTGGAACCCTTAGCGTGGGCCACATGGGGAACTGGAGGTGTTGGGATGGGGGAAGAGACCCAGCCCCTTTCCCCTGGGATGCCTGGGTGTGCAGCTGCCCCAGCTGGGGAGGGGGGCATGTCAGGACCCCCACACTACCCAGGCTCAGCTCCTAAATGGTCCTGAGTCATGTCAGCATTAACTGCCCCCTCCCAAGTTCTTGACGGGAAGGTCCAGAGTCAACAAAGCCTTACACGGGATTGAAACTTGAACCTCTTCCAGGGCTCCCTGGAGTCTGGAAAACCCATTCTCTAAGCCAGTATTAAGTGCACAATTCACCCCCCTAGACAGATCCTCGGAGCCCCCATGGACATTTTCTCCTTGGGTGCTTTGTCCTCTCCGGCGGTCCCCGGGCCAGCAGCAGCGCTGAAGCACAGGTTCTGCAGCACGCGTGCCTTCGGTGGCAAGCAGAACGGGGATCCGGCTCCCAGCATCCACCTGGCTGGGGTCAGCCCATCCACATCAGGGGATTTTCTTTCTCCTCGAGGGCGGGAAGCGAACCTCCTTGAATTTGGGATCATGGGGCTGCCTGCCTTCTCTGCTCCCGTTTTGATGATGAGCCTCTTCCTCAGTATCAGATTTAAATCCACTTTTGGGAATGCCCCATGGAAGGGATGCATCCACATGATGCTTGGAGGTGAGCTATGATGGGAAGGTCCTAGTGATGCTCAGTTTTTAAACCCCTAACCATGGCTACACAGTGCTCTCCCAGGCAGGGGAACGGGACATGGAGC